TCAGATATCAGGAGTAAAACTGACCATTTAACAGTATTTTCAGTGATAAATAATTTCTGCTAGTGAAGTAGCAAATCTGTTCTTGAATACCTGGTAAATCATGTCCTAACTTTTCCCCTTGAGAACTCTTCCAAAGCCTGATTTTTCTTCTAGTTCAGAAAGTCTCATCTCAGCTTTTCCTACCTTAGCTTCCAGCTTTGATTTCTCATTCTATCACCTTTTGAGACTGTGAATAATTCCCTTCCTTCATTTACATTATTATTGCTTAAAGCTATTTATGGACTGATATAATTTACTCTCAGACCTTCCCTCTTCTAGGCTACTTAGCTTCACCCTGTCATCTTCTCCTCTTAGCTTCCATTGCTTATACTTTATCATTTCTTCCCTGCTAGACTTTCTCTAAAGTTTTCCTCAGCTTTGCAGATCAGAATTCCAGGGAGACAGTCAGATTCTCTAGACACTGATGACTCTAAGATAATGGCTTCAAATTCAAGTGCAAGGTCCTGCACCTGGGTCAGGGCAATCCCAAGCACAAGTACAGGCTGGGTGGAGAGTGGATAGAGAGCAGCTCCGAGGAGAAGGACTTGGGGTACTGGGGGATGAAAAGCTGCACATAAACCAGCAGTGTGGGCTGGCAGCCCAGAAAGCCAACCGTATCCTGGGCTGTATCCAGACAAGTGTGGCCAGCAGGTCGAGGGAGGTGATTCTGCCCCTGTACTCTGCTCTGGTGAGACCCCACCTGGAGTGCTGCGTCCAGCTGTGGAGCCCTCAACATCAGAGCAGGTTGGAACTGGGTGATCTTTGAGGTCCCTTCCAATCCAAAGCATTCTATGATACTATGAATCTATGAATTCAGGACCAAGGATGTTCAGAGGGAACACTTTTAGGAGTCCCAAAGTGCATCCATAAATGCAAAACCCTAAGGTAAGAACATTTTTTTGATATGTTTTGCAAGATTCATGCAGAAAGAGGAATGCTTTCACACCATGCTCTGACTGTAAGATGCTAAGCCTCTGTGTAGCCCTTTTCACAAATAAAAAACTCCTTCAACCCAACCCCCCTGCCATGGGCAGGGACACCTTCCACTAGACCAGGTTGCTCCAAGCCTCATCCAGCCTGGCCTTGAACACTTCAGGGATGGGGCATCCACAGCTTCTCTGGGCAACCTGTTCCAGTGCCTCACCACCCTCTCCAGGAAAAACTTCTTCCTGATACCTAATCTAAACCTCCCCACTTTCAATTTACACCCATTACCTCTTGTTTTAACAAACCATTTGTTGGGCTAGGGTTTTTTTATTATTATTACAGGTCTAGAAATAAATTCTGCTACAGCTTCATTAATCTGCATGAACAGACACTTCCTTTGGAAGACTACTGTCTCCCAAAAGCTCACAACTATAACTTTGAATTTCAGTACTTTTTTCAAATTCTGCCATAAAAGTTTGCTTAATTCTGCTATTTCAGGTTTCTCTTCAAGCTTTGTAAATCTTCATAATTCTACATTGTCAACAGATTTCAATGACTGCAGAAGAAGTTTTATAGGCATTCTTCACCTATGACTGAAAATGACCCAATTAAAAGTCTCCATATCCACATGTTTTGCATAATTTCACTGTCTGCAACCTTGAAATACCGAGTAGTGGCTTAATCTCACTGGGGCAATCTTACTGTCTGTGTCAGCTCATTATCTAAAAGGAGCCTTAACCTGTGTCAATTATTTCCTCCAAGACACTGACAGTGAATTTAGATAATATTTTCTTCTTGGCAGCTCAATCTGAATGTGCTCATAGGATATATAACAAAAGATTCTCATTTATGGCTATTATTCTTGATGGCAGAATTTTCATTGGAAAACATTTAGTCTAATGTTAATACATAAAATGAGGAACTTTCTTAATATAACAAGGAGGCTGAAATATTGAAAGTGCAATAAAGTAATCATCCTTCGGAGTCATATTCCTTATTCATTACACTGAGTAGCTTTTACTTTGTGGGAGCTTTGACTAAGCTTAGGTCACAAAGCAACATAAGTTTGAATCTTGCAAAACATTTAAAAGATTTCTTGAACAGAAAGTGAGAGATTCACTGCCTTTTGATGACCTTCGACCAAGGTTACATATCTCAGTTTTATATAATCATCAATTATCAGACTCAATATATGGAGAGGAAAGAAGTCTGTCCTGAGCATCAATGCCAAATTATTGTCTTTTGAATCATCAGGCTACAGACTTCAATTCAACCCAAAGCTGACACTGAAAATTTGAATCCATAATAAAGCCTCATTCTGCTACTACTGTGATCGCAAACAGAGTATGAACTAATTACATGATCTGCTTTATACAGGTAGACAAAGAAGACGCTCTGGTTCTCTTTTACCACTGAATTGGATGAGAACCATGAGGTCTTAGGTTGAGATTGTGCATTTAAATTACAGTACTGCCTGCTTGACTGTTTATGTCTTGCTTGATTCAGGAAAACATCTTTACATGTTTACATCTTTACACATGCTCAGTATAAACATGTCTCTAACTCCTGCTCAGATTGCAGTCATAGAATTTCTTACAGAGCAAGATACTAATCAGTAGCAGTAAAACTGTTTCTTCAAAAGAATATAATTATAGCACTGAATAAAAAATAAATATCTTTTTAAAAAAATCATATTAAACATGTTTATCATGATTCCAGAAGTTCATATTTAGAGTTCACTAAACCTCTGACCTATTTAGATAGCACACGTATCTAATAATGTCCCTATATTGAAATCCAAAAATATTTTACAACCTTTAAGATTATAAAATTCAGTCTTACCACAAGTATGTATCCATTTCTGGGATGAACCCAGAAGCAATTTAGAAGAGTGTACATAATTTTTAAAAGTAAAGAGAAAAGCTTCCCCAGTTGAAACTACAGGAAGGGTTCATGCACCCACTGTGAATTGATCTGCCCTGAAATCTGGCCAGACTAGTGGGTAACTCCTCCAGTTTTACCAGCAGCTCTGCTCCAACTTATCTGCATTTATAGGGCCACAGCATGTCTGTCTTACATCAGACCTTAGTTACAATAAATCTCTATAGACCTACCAAGATTTTCCTTCATGAAGAAACAAATAAAAGATGTAGAAAAATGAAGATTGTTAATGGCTTCATAACCAAATCTGGAAATATTGTAAAGGTTCCCTCCTACCCTGGGTCAGTTCTTGGGTGCAACTTGCAACCTTTGTCAAGAAATAAACTCACCTTATACTGAAGGTCTGTAGAAGAAAAAGAAGTCAACTTCTTGGGAAAAATTAACACAAAACATTGTATGGGTAACATGGCAACTCCTTGCACCTCTGTGAGTTCTGCTAGTATTTATTCAAACTTCTTTTGGTAAAATAGTGCAGGGGAGGCAACAATACTTTCTTCTACTCAGCTTAGAAAATTCAACAAAATTCAACTGCTACATTGTCTGAATATCACTTGAGAAAATAGGAACTGTTTGTACTGCAGAATGCTGGGATATGCCAACAAACACCGGAGTACTTTAAAACTTGATGATATTGCTGTATAAAACAAGATTAACATCACTACTGTTCAGCCACAAAAGAAGTTCAGTGCAGTATGGCAGGAAATACATGTTAAACATAATTGTAAAATAACAGTATGATAAAAAGCACCATTAAAAGTTAAACAGAAAAACAATTGAAATTCTTTCATAAGTGCTTTCTTTCCCTGAAGAAACAATTCAGAAGGAAACTTTAACCCTTATAACAGTTTGGGTTGTTTTTGGGTTTTTTTTTTAACAACTAATCAACACAAAACTGTGTGGGAGACTCTTTGATTAGCAATTAACTTCTTTTTTTTTAGTATTATATTCTTCCCAATGAAATTACAGACAAACATCAAAATCATTATTTTAAGCATTAAAAATCTGCTTATACTGGACTGTTAATTTTTGGTCTGTAGTGATGCCTCTGCCTTAAATTAAATAAAAAAAAAAAAAAAAGAAAGAAAGAAAAATAAGAAAATGGGAATAATTATGGCTCAGATCCAATGCAATTATTTTGGCTGCCTTACTCTGCAGATCTTTTTAAGTATCATTGTTTTTCTATTGGGTGTATTACGAATTTACAAGCTTTGTTTTAGTAGGACTGTTGTTCTCTTAAATCGTTCCTAATCCTCATCTTTCCTGGGCTTAGTGGTTAAAAATTGGATACAACTGCACTTAAGAAACGCTTATCTGTTACCTGTGCTCTAACCTTCCTCATGAATTCACTAGTTTTGAGTCTGGTCTCATGCTTAAGACTGAGGAAGGATTTGTCCTTTTATATTATACAGTCAACTCATAAAGAATTGTCAGAAATACAATAAAAGGTGGAAAAAAGTCAGTCATCATTCAAGTAGTCAAACCTTTTTGCTTATTCCCATCTCATTTTGTTGTATTTTTGGCCATAGAATGCTAAAAATACATGCAAACTATTGGTTTGCTCAGTTTGGCTTGTATGGGGCTGACAAGATAGCTTGTAGCCACATGAGTTAGAGAGATATTCGTAAGGGCTAATCAGTGGGCTAATATTTCTCCAATGTGTGATTCAGAGCCCTGATAAATGAAGCTCTGATGCTGATTTGTCCTCTAAGGAATCCTGTCTCTCATGCTCCACTTCTCCAGTGACTGCAGTAGGAATCTGGGGAGATAAGCTTTAGCAATCTAAAATTGGCCTTTGTGAATACTTCCCTTTCCATGGGGGAAAATATCATCCAACTTATAATTTCTGTTAGTGATTAAAAAAAAAAAAAAAAAAGAAAAAGGAGCTGTGAAGTGAATAAAATATTTCTATACAAGTGAATCTGCTGTTTCTTCTTCCAAGTACTTAAAATATTTGCCCAGCTCTAATCACCCCATTTTCATCAGGATGGGAAGAAATACATTTTATGTAGAACTAGGGAGTAAATTAAAACTGTCATCATGTTTTAATTTATTTACAGAAAGAGGAACTTGAGACAGTACGGTTGTTTTGTCATCAGGTTTTCATTTGCTGTATGTGAAATGAGGCTTCATACTTCCAGCTGGGTTTCGTTCATCACTCTTGAGTCTCTGTGTGCAGATATGGTGTACATCCTATGGGAAGGAGAAAGCACAACAATCATTTCATTCCTACCAAGCTGATAATTAAGTTCCTAATTCTGGGAATAATTTTTACCAATCGTTTTGTTCACTGCACAGTCCTAGGAAAGTCAACTTGCATTCAGCATGAGGGACTGGGTGAAACCTCCTTCTTCTTTCAGAGGGGTAACATGGAGGTTAAACACAAATCCTGTAGACAAAGATTCACTGAAGATTCAGATTTGTCCCCCATTTGCCTAAAACTGTAGAAGGGTCTTTGGTAAACTATAAATTCAGCACCTCAAACAGTTACAACATATATGAACTCTGTTCTGCAGATAACATAAATCTGAGTGAAAGGTTATAGAATAACCTGCTAAAGGAAACTGTGGGAAGTCAAGACTCACTCTCTGGTCAATACATAAAAAATGCTGGAATTGAGAAAGGAATAATATGAATGCTGAAATGGGACTTCATGCCTCTAATAAGTATATACCGAGGCATGTATGTTCTAGGCTTTTGAAGCAAATTACTCTACTGGAATTCTATGGAATTACAGTCACTTATATGTGATAAGGCATTTGTGACATTTATAGCAGTCTGCACTGTCAGATTACCATCCACCATTATCTCATTGTTGTTCAATCACATAAGTAAGGTACTTGTCTGGCATAAGATAAAACTAGAGGCATTTTTCCTGCAAGTGTACAATTAGTATTCCCAGGAACTCCACCGGTGGTCAGCCTGGATTTTGCCAGAAAGTTGTATATAGATAGGCTTCTATATGAGACCTTATTACACTTTGATTTGTTTGCTTTGGGTTGAGGGGTTTTTGTGTGAGTGGTACCTACAGGGTGATTAAGCAACTGTTATCTCTCCCTGGTAATTCTGTGCCTGACAGGCATAGTATTAACAAGTTAATTATGTAATAAATTGACACAATTCTCTCCCATTTGCTTCACTGGCAATGGAGGTCAACAACACCTTCTGGAGATAACCCATCTGATGACATGAAAGAAAAGGTACTGGAGGGCAGGACTGATCCAAAACCCACTAAAACCAATGGGATTTTTTCCAACTATATCAATGGAGTGACTTTCAGCTGTATCTGAAAGTAAGAACCATCTCCTTGCTTCTCCTTTTACATCTATAATCACTTTACAACTTTCCTTGGCAAGAAAGACCCTGAATAGGTCATGGTGAAAACCAAGAAGTAAGAGCTGTGACTCTTTGTAGATCTTATTTTGGTACATTTTTGGAACATCGTGTACATAAAGATATCCTACTTCCAAAAGAAGAAGTTACCGTGATTTCTTCAAAGTGCTCTTCTTCTGCAGTGTCTTCAATCCACCTGACCGACAACAGGCAAACTTACAGTCAATGACCTGGTAGATGATTGGGTTGTACATGGCTGCTGACTTCGCAAGCAAAGTTGGTACCACTGAAAACTGAATGGGAACTGAATCCGGCTGTCCAAAGGCTGACCACACAGAGACCACAGCGTAAGGGATCCAGGCAAGGAGGAACCCTGCACAGATCAACATTGCCACCTTGTGAGAGGAAAAGTGAAAAGAGGGAAAGTTAATTAGGCAGAGTCAGACACAGACAGCAGAGCACAGAGCTAGGCAGACTGCAAGGGAACAGGCAACAGAATGGAAAAGGAAAATGATAGCTCACTTCAGATAAATTTACAGTATGAACAAAAGCTGTCATGCATTTCTCTTCTCTTTATCTACCTCCTGGGTTTTTTTCACCTGACAGAGCAGCTAATGAGTCTGTTATCACAGACCTTTAAAAATGCTATAAGGTCAGGCTAAACATGAGGAAACTAACGGAGTTAGTTTTATCATCAAATATTTATCATCAAATAATGGTTCTTTGAAAACAAAATTAAATTATATAACATATAGACTCTGTTTTCTACAACAATATATAACACAGAACTGTGAAAGTCTTTGAAAACCCTAGCAAGACCTTTGGAATAAATTCAGGCCAAACTGGAAACACTTCCTGTAGGGTTTTTTCTTCGTTGTTTGGGGTTTTTTTCTTGCTTATTTGAGGAACCCCTCACTTCTACAGCCTCTTCTAATCAAGTATTCCTCAGATTGTCAAAAAGAAACCCAGTCTCTTTTCCATTCCAGAGTGAAACAAGCATGCATTGGGAAAACAAAACAAAACTAAGCAGAAGATTTCAGAATTCGAAGTTCATAAAATCCAAGTCTTTGAAGAAATTTCCCCAGACTGAAGCAGGTCCTGATGATGTGTGTGAGTAGGGGACCCTAAGTGTATCTGTAGGTGTTTGTTTAGGAGGGCATATTCTTGTCTATAACTACTATAGCTCCTTCTTCTGTATCACTTAGTGCCAGGCACTGAGGCAAAACCAAAGGAAATTAGGAAAAGAAGAAAAGAGAATACAACACCCTGCTCTAGTGCAGGGTTTCTTCCTCTCTTGTAGGCTGTGTTGATGTCCCACAGAGAAGGCGTCAAAACCCAGTGGGACCAATAACCTGCCAAGAGGATGGTCACTGGTAACAGAAAGAAGGAGAAGAGTTTTGATAAACTACATCTGCCTTCTGCCTGCACCCGGGGGGGGGTCTATGGCCTATCTTCCACGAGAAAAATGCCAACCATATTTCAAGAGGAATATGGGAAAAGCGAGAATAAAGTCATTCAATAAGGCATGAGCTGTCAAGCCTCGGGGTATATCCACTCCAGCAGATAAAAAGTGACCGTATGTATCTCATAAAGCTGGAATTGAAACTATTAGGAATTTAATATATCCTGGTATAGCTACAAATTGCATCATGCAATAGTATCTACTGAAGAACATATGCTGTTATACTGCTGCCATTGACAGACTATTATTCTGCATCTAAATTGATAGTAGTACATGTGCCCTCATTTGAAATAAGGCAATTAGCAGGATTAGAACAAAAACAAATCATCAGAAAGCACATGTTTTAGAATATTGCATAACTTACTGGGAAGCTTTGTTTCCACATCTTGACGGTAATATTATTTTCAGGGAAACTTGTTTCTATTATGATTTTTCTGTTCTCTGACACTGAAGAAACAGCGTGTGCGAGCCAAAGATCTCAAACACAGCCTGTTTGTTATAAATTGTGCTGTGAAGTTAAATGGGTTATGATGGAGACTCATTTTCTGCATTTATATATAGCCCAACATTATGTTCTCCACTGTAGATCTGAGACAGAAGGGACAACTACTGTGTTTCAACTCAGATCACATTAAAGTTTTACATGATCCCTCCAATATGGCAAAAAATAAATCTGCAGCCTCAAATCAATAATTTTCATTGTTCTACAAAGGAAAGGTCCCGAATAACGACAAAACAGTACTGTACTGAAGCAACTCTTTTTAAAGGCAAGGACAGTTTTACCAGCTGCATTGGCAGCACTGGCCATACAGGTAAGCTAGCTGAGATTCTCCGATATGTTTAGACATAGTGTCATTATTGCTGTGCACTGTATAACTTTCAGCTCAACACCCCAAAATTGTAATAAAATTCAATCAGCCAAGCGAAGGATGCTGCTTGTCTCCTTCTTGGCATGGCTTACAGAGGCTGGTGAATCTTTTACAGCTAAGGAATCTGGTTTTGCTCAGTACAAGCTTTTATTTTGTGAGATTTCCTGGCACAGTAATCGGTATCAGCAAGGATCATGGCTGTCACCATTGCCAAATAAAAAATAGATTCAATCAGAAAGGGAAAATAGGATATGGTCTGAGATGGAAAATGAATTTTATCACTTGAGTGCATTTTTATCAGCAGCTCATGGCTGAACATAAATGACAAATTATTTGCATAAAAACAATAGTAATGTCACGGGAGTGACTTTGGTTTATATCTTCATTAACAGAGGAATGTAAGCTGTCCATAAGTTTTATTTACATACTACAATAATCTGCTTTTTATCAGTTTTTCTGTTATAATTCCTGGGTACCTCGAATGGCTTAAAATAGTTCTTCACAACTGCTTCTGAAAACAAAGGGAGTTTTAGGATGGGGAACAGGGCCACAGGGTGATGATGTGACTTGGGTAAGGTCACACAGGAAGGCTGTGGCAGAGCTTCTGACTGAATCAGAGTCTCAGGGACCTAATCACAAAATTACATTTTAACTCCTGTCTTTCCATCTTGACAGTGACAGAGGAGAAAACTAAAAGAACCCCCTTCAGAGCACCCTACTATTACTCAAAACAGGAGCGCATATGGTTGAAGTTCTCCAAGCCTGTTTTCACAACCTGACAAAGCAAACTGAATTAAATCTTCTTACCTACCTTGGTCAGCTTCATTTCCAGTATGTGGCTGTTCTGAATCCTGGTATCATAGTGAGCAACCTCTTTGGTGGATGATTTGACTTTTAAAATGATTTTCACATATGAAAACACAATCACCGCAGTTGGAAACAGGAGGCAAAAGAAAAGAATACTCAGAATAAAAGCCTGTCCAGCCACCGAAGCCTGTGCCAACCACCAGTCCAGAGTGCAGGACGTCCCAAACGGCTCAGGAGCATAGTTTCCCACACCAGCAAAAGGAACTGTAGCCCAAAACGTAGCATAGGCCCAGATTATTGCCAGACAGATAAATGCATGATGTCTCTTAAGCCAGGTACCTGGAAGATAAGTCAAGAGTAACAACCTCAGATCCATATGTATTTGACACAACTGAACAGGTCATTCTGTACACGCAGTAAGAGTTTCCTTGGCTGTTTGACAATAACTGCTGTAGGGTTTATCTCATCTCCTTCCAGATACTCATAGCAATCCCTGACCTAGCCACCCCAGCCCACGTTGTACCTCATGAAGAAAAATACACCCTCATGAAGAGGGCTCCTGACATCATTTCAAGATCTCTGCTTTAGGCTGTGATGATTACAACCTCGAAGAGCCCTTACAAAAGCAATCCAATCAGCTAGCTCAGCAAAAATCATGGGAATTTTGTCTGAGAATTTGGTCTGAGAATTTTGAAAACTGCTTTCTGGTCTGTCAAGGCATATTCACAGTGTTTGGTCAGATGAGATGGAGGTTTGACTCACATGAAGGACTAAGTGTTTAATTCAGTCTTCCATTTTTCAGTATGAAATCTCAATATCTGCAGCTGTATGATGGAACTTATTTCCTATTCCTCTTGTCATATATCAACTGTATAAAGTCTGATATCAAGAAAATTTTCTCAACACAAATCCTTACTGAAAGACAAGGCTTTACAGAGGAAATAACATATCCAAGATTTATTTTTACCTTGTCATTCTTTTTCAGTACAGTAAATCATCATGTGTGTATGGTCAGAAGTATCTGTAATTGGTGTTTTCATGTACCTTATCCATGTGTTTTATGAAATGTTAATGGCGTGCCTGGAGTTGTGGAGCAGAATATTGTCTCTCTGCTCATCTTGCATACAACCCTATTTCAGCTATAAAAACCTTCGGTTCCATCACCATCTATATGCAACAAGTTGGAATCATATAGGACTAACAGGTTATAACCTATGATTCATACAGAAACCTAGACTATGGTATTATAACAGCTCCTTCCACCTTGGAAGCTCTAATCTGTAATTTGGATGTGACTGGTGCGTCTTCCCCAGATGATTTTACCTTTCCAGGTCACTGGAAGGAAAATGAACACTGACTGTCAAATGATGAATTCAAGCACAGTGGCTGAGAGACAGGAACGTGGTTTGTTGTGTTCAGGTGTGGAAAATCTAGAGGAACAATAGCACGAGGACTAAAATATTGACTTTTTTTCACAGGTATGGTCAAACCACATCAACAGATTAAAAAAAAAAAAAAAATTGCTGCTTTTGGAGCAAAACAAAGGTGTAGGCATATAGTCAGGTGCTCCAGTTTCCTGACTGATTTAGTCCACAGGACTTGCTTTCATAAACTGTACAAACGGCTTCCAAGATGCACTTCCTATGACAAGGGTCTTCCTATTCCTAGAGGAGAAGTAGGTCAGAGACTAGTGTACATGTTGAACAGCCTACTGGAACCAGGTCCCTTCACATGGAAGAATGACACAAGAAAGATCAGTCTGTAGACACCAGGTTTCAGGAACATAAACTAGACCAAGCCCTTATATGAAAAATGGCTACATTAACCACCTAAACTGAACATGGTAAATATGTTTGTTATTCTCCATCATTTTGTATGGACAACCATGATCAGATAACCCTTGAGAAAAAAGGTTTTGATGCATATTGTCTCTCTTGAACTAAGATGCCATACTAAATACCAGAGTCCATGCCAGGAACGCAGATGGCTGTGAAACATTTACTTTAGCTCATCGAGTCTGAAAAATCGTCTAAAGAGTTGAATTGCCACTGAATTATTTTGACGAGATTTTATAGAAAGAACTGAAAACCTCATTCATGTGAATGGTGTATTTAAAACTGAGGTAAGGAGACCTTCCCCACATTCACATTTCAGGAAAAAGAATGGACTTGCCAGGATCTATGATGGCAGATCTTAGTGCGCTACCACAGCTTTTAATTGAATGCATGCTCAGCTATTGGACAGACCAGCCTATCTACAATTCCTAGCTTCAAACATTTGTTACAACTTACTATTACATGTTGATATTGTATGACATTATAATGAGATCCATTGTATGACCCTCAAGTCAAAAGGACAAGAAACCTCTTATTTGTAAAGTCACCTTTAGTATTCATAGTATTTTGTTGTGGAGTTAATCACTGTTAGTCACTTCCAACGCAAGAAAAACATCTTTTAAAAACTCAAACCATCTTTAAACTGGAAAGAATGAAATATGCCATCCAGAGGGACCTGGAC